AGTGACTGTAGTTTCCATAGCTTAGTCAATCGTGAAGCTACAAAGAAAATGTGATATCATCATCATCATGTATACACGTTAGTTGAGAGTGAGAAACACACCTCAGCTAAGGTGCCGCAATACAACAAAGTATGCTACACTACAAAAGATTTACAGGCAAGTAACATAACGATACATATTATATTATGTATTTCGTATGATATAGGAATTGGAGGGGAATTTAAAAGGGAGGGGGTTGGATAAAGAAACTCACGACACAAACGCCATTGGGGCCGGCTCTTCGCCATGTCAGCAAGTGTATCCAACCAAACATGTTCATCGTCTTTAGGACCCGAGCCAGGCAGTTTGGATGCACCAACCGACGCCAGTTTCGAAGTGAAGGTTTTCATTTCTCTCGACCAAGTCATTGCTTGGCTTCTCCTCCCCCTCTTCTGACCGCACCCCGGCGCACAAACAATGCACGTCGCGGGAGTCAGTGTGCTGGCGTGAGCAACACTTGGCCCAGCCATCGGAGTCTGTTGCGTGATATAATGGTGCAGAGCGGTTAACTCGCCCTTCCTGCACCAAATACGCAAGACCGAACACACTCATTGCTCACACGGTGCTCCCACCAGACATGAGCTAAGCTGCAAAAGCAGCGATGATCGGACGTGACAAGTCTCTACGTCAGTCGACCTGATGTGCCCGGTTTCACAACCGTATAGTGGGGTTGAACGGACGACTGCGTTATAAACTCTGCCCTTCAGGAAGAGATTGATGTCGCGTTTGCACCACTGCTGACATCGGTTATCTTTGTGTCACGCCGCTTAGATATACAATTCTGTGATGCTTGCAATAAACCCGCACTGCTTACTCTACGGGTGTAAAGTGATGTGCTAATACATGCTTATTACTCTGCCACCTTTTCTAATCAAACATTCCCATGGTCACGTCGATCCAACGAATCAAAATCACCTTTGATATCGAGAAGCATGACTAAGTTGGATTGCCAGTATGGATGGTAGCGTTCCAACAACTAACGTTACTGGAAGGTATGATCAATCCAGCCTCGAATTTGACGAAACGCACTTAGCTGTTCACAGATGTGGCTTTCACAAGTGCCAGCCACTGTATGGAAACCAAACCTCTCCCTCTGTTATTACATTTGTAACTGAAGTGTAACTAAATGATTTGTTCTCTTCGGTGCGAGACACGCCTTCAAAAGCTGGACCATGGTAACACACACGCGTAACGTCACTGATGGTACAAAAATGTTACAAATTGACCAGTACCTATTGGATATATGTGTGTATGTGTATGGGTGGTGCAGCGCGAGCCACCCATGGTCTCTCTGTAGACTCAGGTGTCCTGTGGCTGGCCAAAGTGAGGCGAATCCGAAACCGGATGCCGCCAACCATGTATGTGTAAGTCATCGTGTTGGGTGAACTTTTACTACAGTCGAACCCGCTTTATTGTCCACCGTCGGCATAGTTCATAAGTGGGCAATTAACCAGTATCACCAATTTTTCCACATGGAAACAACCATTGAATCATTGTACAGTGTGCCACTTGAATTGAAACACGCTAAGAAGGATAAAATACGTAATTATAACTAACGCCTACAAAAGACGCTTATTCAGAAGAGCATGAACTATAATTTAAAAATTTAACAATGCGTCTTACTTGGATAGCCATAGAAACGCGCTACTGTATATTTTTGTTGAGAAAACAGTCCAAAGTCAGTTGTACCTTAATTTGAGATGCTACTTCAGTCACTTTTGCACTGATGAAGTCCAATTTGGCTAAGAAATTGTTGCCTAGCCCATGCAAAAGTCCGTAGCTATACAAATCATTCACACAGTTCTCTGCTGTTGAATGCGACACGCGCTGATTGCTGTTACGGAAGCGTCCAGCACGTCATCCTCTAAGTCGGTGCATTCTTTGTGTTTCCATCGGTTCTCTAAACTTTTACTGACGATTTCATTGTCAACAGTTGTCAGATCTTGGGTACCTTCCACTTTGTTGTCAATGGCGATGAATTCTTCTGCATTAATTATCCGGATTGTACAATCGCCTGATCTCGTCCTCAGCGATCACGGCTGAAGCCAGCGTACTGAAAGCAGGCTTTTATTCTTGCACCGGTAACATATCTCCAACTTTTTGTAACGCGCTGAATTGCATCGAGCACAGAAATCTTGGCGCTGACATCGACTGCCGATGATGAGCCAGATAACACGTTGTCTTCGATGTGATAAAGAATTCGGTCCACAGTTTCCTTTCCGTAACGGATCCTCGGATTCATAATCACACCTTAGTCCATGGGTTGAAAAATGCTGGTCGTGTTTGCCGGCAAAAACTCCATTTGAATCTTTATTAAACCTTCTACCTGTGGATGCGTTATGCAATTATCCAAAAGCAACATACTTTTTCGACCACTTTAGCCTAGTCCCTTGTCCCATTCGAGGACCCACTCGGTGAAAAGTTTTTACGTCATCCATGCATTTTTGTTAGCTATGTAAATTACGGGTAGTATGTCCACGTTCACACCATAAAACGTCGTGGTTTCTTCCTTTTTCCACTCAAAACTGGTTTACTTTTATTCGTGTCTGACATATTCACGCAGCACAGGAGGATGGTCCTACCAATGGCATTTTTCGATCCGCTGAGCTTGTCGGCAGAAACACACAAAGAGCCCTCTGGAGTTGCTCGTTAAAAATACCTGTTTCGTCTGCATTGAACACGTTGTCATCATCAAATGCATTTAAAATTTCAGGCAGTCGATCTTTCAGCTAATTTTTACGGACTGTTCTTTCCGCGGAACTCTTTTCGCCGTACACACGTTTACACACAATTTGATTTCCATTCAATCTTTGAAACCATCTTTCTGTGGCAGCAAAGGTTCTTCCAAGTCTTTCCCGAATGCTTCTACCTTTTTTTCTTCAGAAGCTAGCCTTTAACTGTTTGGTTGTGTTCACGAATCGATATCATCCAGTCTTTCAATGCAGTTTCAACATCCTCAACATTTCCACATTGCTACTTTTTCTGAGGCCTTACAGTGTCATGCAACAAATTATGCTGGAATTCCTTTTCGCTGGCAATCAACCTGGCTAGCGTTTGACGAGAAATATATAACTCACGCGACAACTTGGTCTGCGAGGATTTTGGTAGATACGATTTAATTTTGCCCAAAACGTCCCGCTTTTCAGCCAGGGCAAATCCTTTTTGTTACTGGTCATACTTGTGTGTAACCAATAGAGTACTGATAACTGTTGAACGGGATGATTACCCGATTTTGCTCAGTTTTCAAGTATTGAATAGGGTTGATGGTTTGCCCACAGCCATCTGTACATTTGGCTTGCTCATGTATTGAATGTTCTGTCAATAATGCCGCTAACATTTTTGTTGTTCTTGACTCGATCGGACTGATTAGCTGTGGGGTAATGGTATTAAAATGTAGTCGGAGCGAGCGCGCAAAATTGACAAAGCGACAAGAACACAGCCCACGCGGCTGGGAAGTTAAGCGGTGGGACAACCCCGGCAATGAGCAATTAGAGGATGGAAATTTAGCATATTTATGAGAAAAGCATTCGTATTTTGAATACCTGAGCACAATAGCGGGCTCGACTGTATTACTGTGAATTTGTGCGTTTGTTCGGTGAATTCGTCAATATAGGAAGGGATCAGATGAAATCTTTGAAGTGGTTGACGTTCACGAAATGGAATAGATCCTCCGAAATAGCACGCTAGTGACTTTATGTAATGGCGAGTCATACCGCTGCGTCACATCGTTGTTAGCAGATATTTGTGCCTTTTTATAAGGGAACGCTTACCAGGCGAAAACCCACCACGTCCTGGAACACTACCGCCGAACTATTAGCTGAACTGGAATTAACCCGAACCACCCAGCTGGCACCACGTGGCTCCACGTCGGTGATTGGAGCAATAACAACTGCTTCAGCCGAGTAGGACAGTTCTCTGCTCTTACAACTTCACCATTAAATCTTGTTACTCGTCTATAAAAGCAAGTCCCTTTAGGTTGAAGTGAGCTGGAACAAATCCATCTTTTTCTGCGATTTCGATTGTCCGATCGACCTTTCGACTTCTGTTCGGGGGCGAATGCATAGATAACCCATGGAGCAGGTCAATCACTGGTCGGTAAGTAGGCTCGTAATTCTAACCTTTCTAATTTCTTTTCAGACTGTTCAGGCCAAAGCTCCGAACGCTTTGACCAGTTGTAGATAACTTGTCCCTTCTCGTCGCACATAGTTTCTCTAACAATAAGTCTCCTGCTGCACGTTTCACACTTTCTAAGTTGGAGCAGTCTAGCAATTCGCCATTCCCCGTGCAATTGGGGGAAATGCCAATACAAGGTTCTTTTACTCCCTGGTAGTCACTCCACTATGCGGCAGACCTCTTAGTTGAGCACACCACATTAAGTGATAAACTATCTCAAGGGCATCTTTTTCCAGACCGGTAGTCCCTATTCAACATCATTGCGATCCTCTGAGTGCTTCAAGGGTGATGGTATCACAACGTTGGAGACACAGGTCTGTTAGTGATATTTATCGAGAGGACCCCTGCTTATAGGGGGTGGGGTACTGGTGGCGGGGAAAACTTATTTTCCTCCTAGTTTTTCACTTTTTATAATTTTGGATATACGGACGAACTATTTCTGACGATAGAATAAATACGAATGTTATTTGCAGACCTTTTAAACACTCCAATGACTTCTCTGTTTTTCCCCTCTATATTTTCCTGCTTTTTGTTGTCAATAAATCCATGCTCTTGTATTGTTTGCTGGTAGCGCTTATACGCGATAATCTACCTGCTACATGCTGTATTCTTACTGACTACATGTCATCATTCTGTGAATGCTATCTTTTTTGTGTTTTACCTGCAAGAGGTTTCTTTTTTCAGTTGTGGACGCTTCTTTACTCCTAGAGTGTTTTGCTCTATAAACCCCTGCACACGGGCACGCTGAGCGTCAATCTCCTTGACAGCTTCCACACACCTGTTCAAATATGGCACTATCAGTCGTTAAGGGCACAATTGAGCGGGCTTTGGATAAAAACCTTCAGGATCTTGTTCGTGGCATTCGGAATCACAGGAACGACGAGGTTTGCATATCTTTTGGCCCAGCCACCTTTATGAATAGGCAAAATACATCAGTGAATGTCTGGATGAGATCAAAATTGAGCTTAAACAGTCATCTTTTGCGTCAAAAGCCAACGCCTTATTGAAGCTCGTTTACGTATGTACTTTTCACATTATTACTTTCAATTCTAGCTTCATATGCTCGGGCATGAGGTCGGGTGGGCCATGTTTAACACAGTGGAAGTCATGAGTTGTCAAAAATTCACATATAAGGTTCTGCTCGATTACGGTATTATAATCACTGTTTTAGCGTATAGGTTACCTTGCTGCTTCCCAATGTTTTCATTCAGGTTCGGATGTGCTTATGCTTACCACGAATCTTATCCGAAAGGTACATTTATTTTCCTCATCTTCAGTTTGTAGGATCTCTGCAGTATAAATGTGTATGAAGCTGGTGTTGCTTTATCTGGTCTTGCCTGCTTCATGACGACGGATCTAGCCGTTGCTTTGTGCAGTGATATCCTCACCCTAGTGAGTTGTTGTTACCCTGCTTCAGTGATGCATTCTATCAAGTTGCATATCTCAGTAAGGGCACGACATAATTTGTCCCACGTACACGCGTGACCTATGCTCGAATGAGTACGGAATACAAATTTATTATAGTGATACATGTTGATTGAGTTACCAATGATACATATGCACTTATTTCTCACGCTTATCTATGGGATGATGAATCATCATATCTCTTAGGTCCATGGTGTAAGGAAATATCGTGCATCGCCTTACCGCAATTGTCTCACCCACATTCTCCAGTATCATTAACGTGTAATATGGTTTTACCCCGACAACGAGTTGACAGTTTGTCGGTCAGTGGTCTACTTCAATCTCCCTAGTTCTACGGTCTTGGTTTGTTGATGGTGCCTTATCATCACCTCTTTATTTGCGGTAAACAGTTTCATTCCTACCTGTGCTTGACTTTTGCATGTAGCGGACGCGCAACTGTTTTGTATGTGACAATCGTACCTAGACGGACTAAGTACTCCGAATCGAAAGATCCACCTCGGCTTAGCTTTTTAGCTATCTCGTTAGATCAGTGAAACGTGAGGAAACGTGAGTTCTGACTCAATTGTTGCTACTTTTCCCCATCCTCGTACTCCTAGCTTCTCAGCCAGGTGCTCTCTCTGCCTTCTAGCCCAATAGAAACAAAAAGCATGTGGTCGTTAAGCATTTTTTGATGAACTTGAACTGATATATAAGTATATCTGACGAACCACAGTTGTGTTAAACTGAAAACCAACCTCACACACATTACACACCATGCCATCGCACGTCATCATAGCGCTACAAGTAGCGCGATCAACCTAAGCGAAAAACGGTGTCCAAAGTGGCATTTGGAGTACTCGCCGTTTAGTTGGGTTGCGACACGTAATCTCTATTGTCACCTCGGTTCACTTTGAATTATACCTTAGTTATTCCGATCACAGGGATCGTATCCGACTTGCAAGTGTTTCGGCGTTGCTCCTCTCAACCCTGACGCCCCATGACCGGTTTCGTCCTCCTTTAGACTCATCAGATGGAGATAGCTAGAGCTGGGGTGGAATTCGGGAGCCAATGTTTCACCGCTAACGTCTTGATCCCTATGCCACTAAGATCCGTGAACAACGTTTGGCACAGCGGTAAGGAATTCTTATGGCGAGTGCTCCAAATGCAACTTTGAATTAGTGGTCAATATGAGCTTCGACATGGCAATTGGTCAACTTCTACCAAGTCATTTCAATCACACTTGTCCGGTGATAACTCTGGAATCATTGCACGTCTATTATCTGCGTATACGGATAGCACTCGCCATACTCGCCACTCTGTGAAAACGAGTGATGTTTCATCTAATTTTTAAATGCTTTGCTTTACTTTTAAATGTGCACCAGGGCTGATTACATGTTCCTGCGTCTAATTCATACGTTCTCACTAGCCTCTACCTGGGTACGGGCATGCTAAGACCTTTGTGGCTTCCACCAGTTGATATTACTTCTGTATCTTCCACGCATTTTGCGCTTTCCGTACTCGCATTATTTTATGTTTTTGTTTTATATCCGTGTAGACCACTTCTCCAAAGCCTTACATTCGAAAAAAGGCTGTGTTGTTGTTATATAAAGTATTTATCCATCATCCCGAGACACTTCGAGTTTGCCTTCCACGCCTTAAAGAGAAACTTGAAGATCCTGACTCTGGTGAGTGCCTCTCAATGCCGCATTGTTCTCCGCTCCATCAGATCTACTTCATTGTCTTAGGCTAGCACATTGGTATTCACTGTTTGACGAACCTACTCCTTCTATCGGACATTAAGATCGTGTTGTAGGCGCCCCAATCAACACTAACCTTTAGCCACTCCAGCACATGTTGGTAGTTACAAACCACATTTAGTTCATTGGCGCTCGTTGGTTCTTTCCCTGAAATGTGCATCTACGTCCGGCTTTTGTGGAGGATTTATCACAATTGAGCCCAGCTTGTCCTTTATCCAACGGCTAGATAGGCTTGTCTTACGCCTCCAAAAGGGTGGCCGAGCGCTTGGGATCATGCGGGATACACCATTCACTAAGATGACATACCGGCCGGTAGCCGGTTAAAGGATATTTTCACATCTATTTTACCATCTGCATTACTTTCGAACTCTCATCAGTGTATTTATCCATCTGCTTAATGGATTCACTTTTAGCAGCGGTTGGAGGAGCGATACACGCTACTGCTGCTACTAATGAGCCCGATTGCAACAAGCTCTCTCTCTCAGGCTTAACTCATTCACACTTGTGTTGGATTATCCGATAGGAAAAATAATGAAATAACTATATTTTTCCTTTGTAGTGTTCAATGGAATACACGCTATCCCTTAAGTTCCAACATAATTTTCACCTCAAGCTTATTATCCTCAATGCCCATATCCCACGAAGTTCTGTTCGCACCGTTTGATTTTGCCAACAAATTAAGTTTCAATTCGGTAACCATTTTTCCACCATAACTTGTTTGTAATCGAAAAGTTGCTGTGATTTTTGCTCTTGTGTGTAACGAACAGCGGTATGCGCCTTTCGAGTTTTTTCAGAACCTAGGAACTCATAGGAAATTGGTGCAAAGTCAATAGCGGCCCTCTCTTCTCAGAACCCAGTCCCTGTGACCATTGTAATGCAAATGCATTATTTATTACTTTATTATCACCTGCTCAGTCGGCCGGTGGTCCAGTGGTCGGAACGGCTGGTCTGCAATCTTAAGGTCACTGTTTCGAATCTGCGTAGGGGCGGGCGTCCCCGCGGTATACTCATCCCGCGCTCGACTGGTGGTGATCGCGCGGCAGCGAAGCGCTGTTACGGCGTACAGCTGACGATTTATTTATTTTATTTTTATCGCCTACTCCACGCCACCATGATGTTGACTTCCAACGTTTCGTCTGTCGTTGATGCGGTCGAACCTCTATTGATGGTTTTACGCTCATTAAAACTGTTTGCGCTCGGCCCCTGCCAAATTTCCGCTAGACTTAACGTTCGCCCTCTGCGGCCGAACTCTAACCCGAATGCGTTGTGTATCAGTCTGTCGAGTTACTGACCTCTGTTATATTGGCCGTTAAATCAAGACCTAGGGATATAAATCCTTGAACGGATCCTCTTTCTCGGAATATGTAGTCACTTCATATCTATTTACGGATCTCTGTCACTGTTGACCTTCGTTGTCCCTTTTTCCACCATCTTTAATGCTATAGACCACTCTAAAACTTGTGACCCTTAACAATGATCAACTTATGTCAACTCGGAAACCTAGTCACCGCTCCATCTAGAGCCATTCGCATCATTTTAACTGGACCAATAGTCTCCACACATTCTCGTTCCACAGTCCCGCTATTCATGCTTACCCCGTCTTCGATAGCGTTAGATAGTATCAGGTTTGTCAGTAGTTTGGCCACACTTCTAGTGCTGATATTCTTGCCATCAATTGTTCACGACTAATTGAGTGCTTTAATGTTATACCCCTTCCACTTTGTCCTTGAATTTCTAGTCTAATCGACGCTTTGCGACTCAGCTCTTACTACCCTTTATTTCTCTTGCGAATGTCCCCCATGTACCCGACTAGTAGTCATAGAACCTGTGACGTTATTGTCAACTTGGGATCAACTCTATCTCCTAAACAAGCGCTATTGGGTAATATGACACCCAGCCCTGCACGCTTCAGTACGTACCTCGTATCCTTAAACTGCATGGCTCCGTTAGAACGCCAAGCCAACATAATCAGCGACTGTTTTGAGTGGTTGATTAATTTCTTTGCTGATTTAGACGCCAAATCTCCGAACAGGACGCTGCACAAATTTCTAGCTATCGCGTTGCTCTTCATGCTCTCTCTCTCATCCCTGGAGAAAGTGGTTTCCCTATCGGACAAGCGATAATACAAACCTTTCTGGTATATCCAGTACTGCTGCATGGTGGTCTCGTGCGTCGGAGATGGGAATGGACACTGTCGTTGGTAACCGTGTGAGGTTATTCCGTTTGGTACGCGAAACGAGCAGAAGAAGACCTGGTGTTAACGAGACTATATATGACGAGGGTGAACAGCCTATCCACAACTTGTCAAAGCTCTTGGAGTTTTGGCCGAGTACTTCGAGAAGCGGTTTAGTCAGTTTGTTGCCAGTTTCTCTAACGGCTATTGATCGCCCTCCTCCCCTTGGATCTGCCTTCACGCGCACAAGTCGAACGTGATCCGACCGTTGAAATCGAATGAGGCGGCATGAGTAGGTAGATGTCCTCCAGCCGTCTTCAAATTTGAGTGACATGCTCTTGTAGATGATTTACCCAACTTACTCGTGAGGCTGTGGGAACAGGAGACTGTCCTAACAGACTGGAGCCGCTCAGTCATAGTCTGAATTTCCGAAGGACGCTCACGTTCCCGTGGCAGTAATAGAGGGATCAGTCTGATCTCAATTGTCACTAAGTTATTTGCTTCTGTCCTCCTCCATAGACTCGCTGGCACTTGTGCTAGCCAGATTCGTGAGGATCAAGCTGGGTTTTGTCGATATCGAGGCTTTATTGATTAAATCTTCACATTACCTCAATTGTTTGAGCACCACCATCATCATCATCAACTGCAGTACATCAGCCGTTTGAAGTAATGCTCCGCTGCCATACAAACATAACGACCTACCGAATGAAGAATAATAGTAGGGAGAGAAGGGGGACTCACCACAAAACCGTAATGCCCTAAGCCAGGGGTATCCAAACTTTTTGCAACGGGAACCGCATTTTTTGTGGTAAAAAGTTGTCGGGCCATATTCAATCTGACATTAAGATAATAACAACAATTGCACATATATGAACACATCCAAGCCTGAATTTATTATTTTATGATGAGGCCGTGGGCTAGTTGAAATGTTAACTCGGGTCGCATTTGCTCCGCGGGCCGTACTTTGGACATCCCTACTCTAAGCAAACATTCAAGGTCAAGGCACTTACACCTTGTGAACAAGGTACCTTGACAAACAGCTGCCTATGCTGCAAAGACAGCTTTCACTGCCCACGTCGTAATATGCCACTAACCAGCAGATAACTCAGCATCAGACAGTCCGACTAGTAGACGACAGTGGATACGCCATTGATGCCGCCTGTCAACCATGTCCTGTAACATCTCAAAGTAAGCAAAAAGCAAGATACGTGGATTCCAGTCTGGAAAGCAAGACGGAACAACGGCACTGAGTTTGCTCGTCAAGAACTTCATTTCCCGTTGCCAAGGGAACTTTTGCCCACCTCGAGCCTTGCGCCACCCTACATCTGGCAGACAAAACAAGGCCCTCCTAGGTAAGCCGTAACTGGGCATACGAAGTACGTGCTTAAGCCACCGCAACTTATTCAGTGCTATCTGTCGTTCTAAGGAACTAGCTTGGTAATCTCTGCCTAGTACTCGCCTACACTTATCATCGTTGCGGACACTGTGCGACTTGACCCCAGGAATGTTTCGCAAGCAACGATAATCAAAAACTTGTAGGCGCCTCAGATCGAAGGCGGCAAATCTCACTCTCATAAAGTAGGACGGCCCTCACTGTGACCTTGTAAACACGGCCTTTCAGACCGAGGGAAGATCCTTTCTGTCACCAAATATGCAGATTCGAGAAGGCAGTTCTGGCTTCTGCGATGCGTACACTGGCTTCATTTGCTATACGCTCGTCGTTGCTAATGTAGCTGTCAAGGTTAACGAATTGATGAACTACCTCGAGTTCCTCATCAAGGGCTCATTATGAGGCTTGTGGTCTTGCAGCAACACTTTGTACTTTGAATTTGCGAAGTGCCTGCCAAATGATGGGACCACTCTAGGGGGGCTATTCAGGGTTGATTGCGCAGCCTCAACATCGTTAAACAGCAAAGTGATATCGTCCATATATTCAAGATCAATTAGCCTTTCATCAGGCTGCACCTCGACGCCTGCATCGTGAGGTTCATCAAGGGAGCACTTCATGATGGAATCCACGACGAAATTGAACAAAATGGGGAAATTGGACAACCCTGACGAACGCCACTTGTTGTCGGAAAGCTATCCGACAGGTCATCGTAGACCATGACGCGGCCTGTAGTGTTCGAGTACAGAGCACGTAATCTGTTCACATATTTCGCGCAAGTATGTCGAACCGAATCAATCGGTGGACTGAATCTAACGCACACTTGAATTCAAGGAACACAGCTACTGTCGGTCTGCGGTATGCGTGGTGCTGCTCTGGCACCTGCCACAAACTAATTGTATGACCCTGGGCAGAAACCTGCTTGCTCTTCCCTAATTCAGGATTCCCATTTCACAATGAGGCGACAAACGAGAACTGCGGCTAGTAATTTTGTCACAACGCATTAGACTAATACCCTTATAGTTAGCACAGTCGGCGCGACTGCCGTTCTTGTGTATTGCTAATATAATCGATTCACTCCAGTTAGCCGGGGTGGCCTCTTCTCTCCAGATATGTTCGAATAGTCAGATCAGTACCTTGCAGAAGACCTCACCACCATCCTTAAATAATGCAGATGAGACGGAACCCAGGCCAGCAGTACGAAAACGATTGAGGGCTGTGATCGCATTTTTGACCTCAGCCTCCGATGGAGTTTATAAACTGACCGTCCATGGCTCACCCTGCATCACCTGAGTAGGAAGAGTTCCGGAATTGGGGGACCAACTGAACGGTTCTCGAAAATGCCCTGCCAAACGAACAATGCAGCGCTCCTTATTGTAAATCATGGCATCCGTGCTGTCTCTGATTGTCTCACCGACGCCTAGTTTCCAGGGCCCAATGGTGCGGATCAGCCGGAAGAGCTTGCGTTAGTTACATTCTGTTCCCTCCATTTCTTGAGCCCGACTGGTCCACCAGGCTTCCTTGTCAGCACATAGGATCCGCCTTAATTCGCGACTAACAGTTCGTCTGGTCACACTGTGCTCAGAGCCAACTGGGAGGTTTCTTTTTCCAACGGGTTCACCGACGTCGGATGACTGGTGCGGTGACGATTGACAGTGCCACAAACAGATGCTCCTGCGTCGTGCATGGTGGCCGATATTCTATTCCACCGAAGCTCAGTGTCATAAGGACAAAAGCGCGAAAGTTCATTACGCAGTGCGTCTTGATAGGCTGGCTTGACCAAAGGCTGCGACAAATTCTCAGTTGCCAGTCGAGGGAGACGTTTGGTGCGCCCCTCGGTAAAGTTCATGGAGAAACGACGGCTTATCAAGGCATGATCAGAGTCGGCGCAAGTATTCCAGAACGAGCGGCAATCCAAAATGAAACCGCGCAATCTGTTATGCAGTCAATTTGGATCAATCACTGACCAGTTATAGGAAGACGCCAATTGGCACTTTGGCGCCCACGGTATCTAAAAGCAGTGCTACTAAGACACAGCTGGTGCTCCGCACACAGTTGCAGCAGACGCTAGCCGTTGTCAATCCGTGCGGAGTGAAACCCAAACTTGCCACCGAGTTGAGCTTCTGAAGAGCCCAAGCGACCTGCTTGTGCAGTAATATTCCCTGTAATTACTATGAAATCTAAACTAAATAGCACTGCATATTAGCGTGTTCAGTTCGTGATAGAAGGCGTCCGTAGCAACGTCAGAACTGGAGTCAGTGGAGCATACACGGAAACCGCTAACAACTTGCGTTTGATGCTATTTTGGCGGTCAACTTTAGTTGATGTCGTCAAACGGGCTGCTCACGGGAATCCAATCAACCAACGCTGAGTCTGCTTTGGAGCTGAGAACAATGCCATCCTCGGCTTGACCAGTGATTGCCGCATCTGCGTCTCCGGATGCGTGTAACCAATAGCAAGAGAACACGTTGGGCGCAGTTTATTCAACAACCCCATTGGGTCATTGATCCTAGTTTCGGACACACAGCACGTCAATACCCAGGATGTCCAAAGTGCGTGCGAGTGCAGCATGCTGACTTATTTGTCTTAAAGTGCGAAGGTTGAACGCCGCCAGGGAAACAGGACAGCGTGGCTTTATAAGGGACTGTTACCGATAGGTGTCCAGTGGTTGTTACGGGAAAGTGGTTTTACTCTAGTTGCACTGCGGTTGCTGTTATTTAACCTGGGAATTATAGACCGAAAGTTAGTAACGGGGGTGGCAATGGGATTAAGAGGAACAGGGGAGAAGAAATATGAGAGGCGTCCGCAGTAGCATGTTTTCGCTTATCCGCCCTGCTGTATGCAGCAGATAAGGCGACCCTTGATAATCTGCGCGACGGATGATGCAGGATGTAGTTAGCGTTTGGGGAAGTTGTCATGGTTGTACGTGGATTGAGATACTACCAGGGCGCCCAGACCTTGACCGGAGGACCGTTAGGGTCCTCAACTAATGCCTCTGTCTTCAAAGCTTGTCCGCGGGGAGAAATGGACGTCAGTTGTTTGTGCACATTCATATTTATTGGTGCCCCACCGTAGTCATATTCCTCGACACCAAATATGTCTCCGATTCGCTTTATCGATCTGCCCTATCGAACTGTCTGCTCACTAAGATTGTGGTTGATAAGTATGTTCAAGGTAGCGGAGCGTTGTACGCGCATGGCTCATATAGAGTGAGGGTCTATGACAAGCTGTCGTCGCCCTTTAATATCTCCATCGGTGTACGACAAGGTTGCATGCCTTCACCTTTCTTCTTTAATTCCGCCATCGATGAAGTAATGGAAACGGTCTTCGCTGGGTACGTCCCGCACGGTACGGAGCTGCCTACTTGTGAGAGGCTTCTTGACTTGGAGTATACCGACCTTGTTGCTCTTATCTGTGACAGCTGCCAGATGTTCCAAGCATCACATGTTGGGAGTCGTTTCGGTCTGTGCTTTGCACCCTCGAAATGCAAAGCCGTTCTCCAAGATTGGCAGGAATTCACCCTTGCGCTGATGTTTGGTGTTGAAGAGTTAAAAGTCCAGAAATTCAACTACTGAGGCAGCTATATTATCGCCTGTGAATAGAAGATTAGTGTTCGGACCATATATCAAACGCTGGAAGCCATTTTGCCAATCTCCACCACCTCTGGTGCCTAAGCGACACTACGCTCTCTTCAAAGGGCGGAGTTTACGATGTTACTATCACTTTAATTCCCCTATACGATATCGGAACTTGGCCCATCTAATCGATAGATGAAATGAGGCTCGTGACGTTCAGTCATCGCTGTCTTCGCAGCTTAGTTCACAACTGTTGGAGAAAACACATAATCAGTGAACGTGTTCGGCGAATAAGCCGCTCCGCACCGTTATATTGTGCACCAGCCTTCCATGGCTAGGCCTCGTGTTGCGCATGCCGGCACACCGACTTGCTGGATGTGGAGGTGGCCAATCGATGACTTGGTCAAGAGGAATGAAAATCCTCACTTTGAAGTTGGCGTCCGGACTGCTGTGCTGGGATCCAAAGTACAATGAACAAATTTGCTTGGATACGTTTGTAACATGGTAAAGAGCCGAGCCCAGTGGCGCTTGTGTTGCGAGTTTCTTTGTCCCTCCCACTCCCGCTTATCCTCCAAATCCAACCACGTTCTTGCACGTAATGCGTAATATGGTACTATTTTTTGGTTTTCCATGTTGTATTCTGCAATGTTATGTTTCTCGCTATTTCATATATCTTTTGTATTACAGTACATTGGCTGAAGTGTTTCTCGCCTTCAGCAAACAGGTAAGGTAATATAGTGTAGTACTGTCCCATGGAGGCATCAAGTGACCATTTTGACCCCCACCACCCACGAACTGATACTTGTGGGGTTCTTGACCTAACCCCTTCATCTGTCGGTGCTTTTCGACAGTATTGAAAGGAACGCTAAAACGTTTTCGCTTTATGGATTCCTTTTTCCCTTCTATTGACGCCCTATTCTGCCGTTTGTTTATCGGTATTTGTTCTTAATTCACTAAACCCCAAGTGTCCAGATGACAAGGAAACGAGACGTGAGACAATTGATTCGTGAATGGGAACAGATTGCTAATTACGATTCGAAATTGGTCACATCAGTGCTTAGAGGCCCTTTTCCTCCTGGTGCACTCTCAGTTTATAACACTATTACTTTTCTACTTCTTTTAACTACCTTTTTGCCTTGACTATTCGCGTACAACCTCACATACAATAAATGAAGACCATTACCCACTGCATTTACCGAACCCGCATGCAATTTTGTCACATATGTGGAACGTGTAAATCTGATTTCTAGGTGTTCAATCCGCTGCTGTCAATGTTATTTGCGAGCTGGCCCGCAAAAATCCCCGTGATTATTTACCACTCGCGCCGGTTTTTTTCAAACTCATGACCAGTTCAACGAACAACTGGATTTTAATAAAAATTATAAAGCTGGTAAGCATCAACAATTGTTTTGTGTGTGCCTTTTCTTCTAACTCCACTGTCTCGGCTTATTGCATAGGTGCACTGTCCCATTATTCCCCGTCATTCATCTGAACTTCATCTTGGTCCTATATGAAACAAACCTTGCTTGTTAAGCTGCACAACTCCGCCAGAGTATGTTTGGGTTGTCTTGGCACAACTCCGTACCCGATGCAATTGAATCGTAACGACATTTTTGTGACCTCTACTTCCTCATCTGGTCTTTTCTTTCTTTATTTTCTACTCAGTTTGGCTCCCTCACTCCTTTCGAACCGAGATTGGGCAAAAAGCTGATAGAACCGTTGACAAACCTGATTCACAGGTAAAAAATGTTCTTCTATTTTCTACGTTACTCATGCTCGCTATTCTTCATATACATTTCAGTAATAGTAGGATGGCTCACCACTGTAAGCATAAACTCAAACAGAATATATGTACATGCCAACGGAAATAATTTTTCAGCAAAATCGTTACTCAGCTTGTATACTAATTGGCACTATACCATTTGCTACTCTACTTGACGCATCGATCTTCGAACTAGATTTCTGCGCCATCCCTCTGGTTTTCGCCAGTGCCACCCAATATGTTAAACAGGTGAAGCTCGTTACACTTTCATTCCTCCACTATGTAGGGGACAGCAGATTTATTTACGTTCCACTTTGTCCACATGCCACATCTGTGTACACTGCGTTATCGTCATTGTCCCATACGAAGATCATCATGCGGCCGGTGTTTGCAACTACAATGCCACCAGAATGTGGATTGTTCGTACATCGCAGCAACAGTCCGACTGTGCCGGAAGCCCGATCTACCAAGGCACATACCTTGGATTGTTTTGCAGGTTTTTTTGCCCCGGTTATCTGTTGGGTTGCACTAGGATACTGAAGCCGGAAGTTAAAAACGGTTCTGCACTATCAACAGATATGTCATGCTTGGGTCGCACTAGTAAAATATTTATTGTCTTCACCGGTTTCTCCACCAGATTGTTCCATTCGGATAGCTGTGTCGACGTGATACGGACGCTCCTGGTCCACAAGTTTTCCTTGGACTGGCTAGCAAAACGTGTATCCTCATCCTTGACGAATGTGGACTGCGCTCCTTCGTAACGGTACACTTACTGATGAGCCAAAATGTTGGCGTTGGTGATCCACAAGTAATTTCTACAGACGTCTCCCTACCATACAGGCGCAAGTGGTTGTCCGCAGACTGGGATACTATCAGGGCACTCAGGTTAACCTGCTGGAGCGGGAACTGGAACACGAGCCATCAGGCTTACAAACCAAACGCATGGCTCACCATATCACAAATCTCTAGAATTATCAGAAGCAGTGACCCAGCGTCTTTTACGTTCTAGCTGCATAAGTTTCCACATACTGCAGCGATGCGTTCTAGTGTCAACTCTCCGACCTATAAAAAAACCGCACGGACATCGTGGTTAATGCGGAGACCTAAACACGCAAGTCGGCAGGCTCAAAGTTGACGGACATGAACATGGTATTCGTAGGACGGACGACGGTTATCGCCTACTTCAGCGCTGCGTCGATCATGACCTATTGTCTTCAAGGAACAACTTTTGGCTACCCAGATGTCAACGCACCAACTGGTGATCCCCATCACTTGACCAACCATAGACACAGAATCACCACATCGCCACCACTGGCGAAGCTGCATACAGGATCGCAACTCAATCTGGAATAAATACCTTACTTCAGATCATGGGCTTGTGCTTGATAATCCGGTTCTTCGTCGCCGGAGGTAGCTTAACGTGGCTTAGCTTCCCACCCAGCGTTTCCAGCGCTTTCCAGGATCTCTTAGCACAAAATCTCGAGCGTATCGTGTCTAAACGTTAAAACGCACTGGGCGCACATCCATCGCAACGAGCCTGAACTTTAACGTGATGCGATTGTGTGTTTCAATGATTCATTTAACTATGCTGGGTATTGCTTTTTGCACCTTGAGTACTCTCTAGGTTAGGAGTTCTAGTGAGGGTGTATCCTTACCCCATAAAACGGACTATCTGTAACCCAGTGCCGAAACCCCGCTATCTTGCTGTCAGGTTTCTAAACCAAAGGGTTCGGTTGAGAACCCTAATTGTTCTCCTGTCTATGTGTTAAATCTCCCCACTTGTTACGATTCCGAAATATGCGCTGAATTACTCCACAAAACTTCTGACCCAATCAAAGTCAACGGACCTTGAAAAATAACGCGTTAAGCACCGTTAAACACACTGCATCGAAATCTGAACTTGCTCGTATTTATAAGTCACTTACTGACCCTCAACTTCTAGAATAGGGAGGTCCACTTGCGAAATTAGTGCCATACCGATCCAGCCAGTCTCCAGAAGGTCGACAGTCACGCTCAGGTCCTGGAACATTCTAGAAAGTTCGAAATCAGTGCAACAATCAACGGCAATCGACTACCTGTTGAAATAATGCCTTTTCCGGAGATTTCTTACCTTCTTCTCGACACATGGCCTAGACAGCCTGACAGTATCTTGCCCGCGCAATATAATGTATTTCTCCCCAAACTATTTATTGATATTAATTAATGCATCACTGCTTACTGCTTAGAAGCAGTGAGTAGAGTTTGCTCTGTGTAGCTGCATCAATCGTCACTCATGGACAAATACCCGTTATATTGTGTTCCGCTCAATATATTTTACGTCGGCAAAGTATTTGTCAAGGAAATTCTTAAATTCCGACACTGACTTTGCCTCAACTACGTGCTGCGGCAGGTCGTTCCATCCATTCACCACTCTGCGTTCGAAACAGAGTTAGTGAGCGACCCGTTTCAAATCCGGTACGACAAGCTTATACCGGTGTTGATGATGATTGCATACATTATTTTAAAAAAATTATAATTAATCCTTCTACTTCGCTATTGTCCTTTATCATTTTTTACTGCCACCTAATTGTAGTAGTATACTGCAACGCAATAGCTGGAGTGTTTGTCATTCCGAGCAAGAATGATGAGGATGAGGCCTTTCGTAATTGTGAATGCCGTTACCAAATCCTCTCCCAATGTACGCCGTTACAGGATAAACAATCCTGGACTCCTTAGCTTATCATCACTACAGTTTGCATCCTTTCTATACAAGTAACATGTTTCCGGAGATAAGTTACTCAGGCCCACAAACTACTCCAATCGAGATCATAAACTGCTTTATATATCATCGCGACGAGACTGGTGCGATGGTTTTTGTGCCTCAACGATCCATTGAGCTATGCTGAGTGGTGCTTTTTACACCCTCAGAGCCACCCATATCAATGGAAACATTGGTATACTACGGATAGAAAAGCTGACGCTTAGCAATTCCTGTAGAATGACGATAAGGCGAACCACAACCTGATGAGCATAAAATAGTGATAAACTGCAAATCGTCTTGAGGGACTCACCGCATTTGGGCTGAACCAACTGAAACCACGATCTTTTTAAGCTGGATACATTCCATTTTGCTTTATTTAGTTTGTTCTGACTTTCCGAATAATCTTCTATTAACTGTCCACGTTCCTTACGCTAATTATGGATATCCTCGTTAAATTTATTGCGTTTTTTGCATTTTGGAGAAACTTCTCGACATTTTGTACTTATCGCGGATTCGTTGATAATCAACTTACTTCATATGCTAATTTAGCAGAGTTATGTCGGCATAACCGTATGCTTTAACATATATATTTTACTTGCTAATGTTATTTCAAGTGATTGGCTGTTGTTTGGCATCCCCGATGTGGCTGGGTTTGATGTGCAAGTTGACAAGGTGCCTACCTGTCTATTACCCACTGCCTCGTCCATACTGGCTCCAGGAGACAGGTGGTCTTTGCTGGAGGCGACAGGTGCACGGTCCTTGTGGTCATGCTAGGCTCAAGGTGTGTTTCCATTCACTCAGTTTGGAACGGACTACGGTCCAGCCACCGTCTTGTGTGCACTTGATTCCCCACTTACAGCATACCTGTGTTTGCCTGTGAGGGAGTGTGGGCCGGCTCCGTTGATGAAACGTGACTCCCATCCACATGCCTCCCGGTCTTATTCCTTCGGTTATGCACTGCATATGGGGTGTGTGGTTGGAGCTGTGGGTGGTGCAACGCAAGCCATTTATGGTCCCTCTGTAGGCGCAGGCATCCTGTGGTTGTCCACAGTGACAGGCAAATTCGAAAGCGGATGCCGCCAACCATATATATATATATATATATATATATATATATATATATATATATATATATATATATATATATATATATATATATATATATATATATATATATATATATATATATATATATATATATATATATATATATATATATATATGGTTGGCAGCATCCAAGTTGTAGGTTGTCCACCATACCTGCCTCTTTCAGCCCTGTCCAGCGACCGCGAACAAGGCACGGCGCGGAAGACGCTGAACGGACATACGAAGTACGTATCCGAACCTTTGCAGTTGGCACAGCGAGACAAGCGCCTCAAGAGAGTGGCTTTCTCCACCCAAGACACGCTGTCTGACTACAGCGTGGTCCAGCCACCACACACGGGCGATGGACGGCAAGCGACGGTTCTCGAAGACAGACAATCTACGTAAGTCATCGGTACTAGCAGGCCAAGTCTCTCAACCGTACATCGGTACAGCGCGATACGCATCGAAATCTCCTTTTCAACAGCCCCGTCAACAATTATGCAGCTTCACAGGTAGAGAAATCTCTGTACCACTTCTGTTTCCCCATCGATGGTAAGTGCAGGTAGGGGCGTATACCAGTCTTGTAAAAGCGCTTTGCAGTTGGTTAGTGAAAAGTGCATACCATACTTCGACGCTTCAATCGCCAGGCAGTTAAGTGCAAGTTGGACGGCCTGCGGACCATCACACATTATCAGCGACAAGAAGGCAGTGGTGATATAGCTTTTCGGCGGTTGACAAGCAAATCCGCTACTGACAGTACTGGCAGAAATTAAAGCTTCTTTGATGCGCATCCATTGCGAATTGAGACCATCGTCAGAGGATGAAGCAAGTAGTGTTGACAGAGAAGCCTTGTACTTGACTAACGTCGCAGGATGTTGCAGATTTTCGACGTTTGCTCGGTAGTGCGTACGTCTGGATGATCCTCCGAAACGCGTGCACATTTTGGCGCGAACCAGTGCGTGAACGGAGTCTAGACAAGTTGACCAGTACGATCGGCAGTCTGTTACGCGTCCGCGCCATCTGTAGCTTATTGCTATGTCGTCAAGCTGGGACCATTCTTGTGTTTAAGACGGCGGACGCCAGGTATTAGTCTGCCTTTTCGAATGATGAAAACTTGTACTCGAAAGAAACAAGCGATGCTCAGAACAATG